GAGAAACGGCTAACAAAGATTCAAAAGATGAATTTTGCGTATTACTGTTTCCAAAAAATAATAAGTACTTAAACTGAAAACTTCGCACCCCGAAATAGCTAACGATACGAACTCGTTCATTTATTTTATAACATTTTAAAGACAAAAATACGAAAGCAAAACAAAATTATTTAGAGTTTGCTCTGCCTTAAATAAAAAATCTTCGAGTTTAATTTATAGATTCATAAAAAAAAGATTAGGAAGGAAGGTAGGTATTCGAAATACGTTTCAGAACTTGTATCGTATAAGTGCCGTTCTTAAGACTACTCATGAAAAAATGTCTTTAACAAGGTGTGTATTCATAATACCTCGGGATACAGAACCAGTACGAGCATGTACGCTCAAGTTGAAAATTTCAAAATGTCCCTGATAAAACTTTAAAAAATGCCTCCGGGCGATTTAATCACATACAAAATTTAAAAGCTTTAAACCTTTTGAAGGAATTTACAGACAACAACATCTAACGCTACCTAATTTTTATATAAATTAGAACATGATCCACGCAAAAATAAAACAATTGGAACTGACCAAATAGAAACCATTTTCAGTTCATTTGATAGCATATACAATCACAAGTATTAGATGATAGTAAAGCGCAATTCAATGAATGTAATGGTTTTGAAGACTGATACTTCGAAATCATTGCGTATGTTGAGAATTTATTAACTCATAAAGATCATCATCATCATGTAAGTGATGTCCAAGCTCATATATAGATTCCAATTAAAAAAATTACATTATCAACAATTTTATTTAGAGGAAAAAACATTAAGATAATACATATAGGTAAATTTTTTGCGATATTGTACTTTCGATAACTTAATTAATAAAAAAACAATTACAAAGGAATAGTCAATATTTAACATTCTGCTTACAAGTTGAAAGTAAAAAAAAGTGGTTGTTGTAATTCAAGTTTGTTACGGTAATTATGCTATTTTTAGTAATTGCTTGCTGTTATTTAATTTGTAGATAGTAGGGTAGTGTCAATATAAAGAAAAGAGCATACTTGTCTGTCTATGTAAATTGGTTTTTATCATAATATACGGTTATAATTGAAGACCTAGTACGCCTATTGAATTTATCTGTAAGTGTAAAAAATTTGGAAAAATTAAACGAAAAATACAATTTAAATATTGAAGAGTTGGCAATGTGTTATAGTGCCATAAATCAATGGAGTGTGTCCTTTTTGGAAAACTTTGTCTTCAAAAGTCAATCTTTTTGGTGTAGCATAGATACAATGCTAGAACGTGCCGTCGTTCCCGTACCAAATGACACGTTGTACAATTTGCTAAAAAAATGCTGCGGAGACCTTCTGAATGGATTAATTTACCAATCGATATCCAAACGGAATTGTCGTGGAAAAAGAAGAAGCTAGATGATCTCGGTAGAGACCTACTACATCTTGAAAAAGAAACGGACGCAGAGTTAGTTAGACGAGTGAGAGACATAAATAGTTATTTAATTTCCAGTCAAGAACTTGTAGATATTCTAATAGGTAGTTTAAATAAAGTTAAGGATGATATAGATATTGAGTTGTTTAATAATAGTTATTTTGTAGATGTTAGTTTTAATTACTTAATTACTTATACGAAAGGATTTGTATAAATACTGTTAGTATGTTTGATTGTTATAGACAGTATTATAGTAGATATAAGGACTTAATTTACAATTGGTCATTTACATATAATAAACAGATTTAACGAGGGGTATAAACAATTTTTTCTTGTTCAAGTTTAATTTTATGTCGATAAAAAAAAAGGTTAATTAAAATCTCTCTGTCTTTACTTTGAATTTTCTGATTGTCTCGATTTACAAAACATCCAAAAACTCGTAACAAAAATTTGCAAGTTCTGAGGAAATGGTACAGGATCATTACCCACTACTTGGCTGCAAGAAAAAAACTATGAAAATTAAACAAGTTAATTAAATAAAATGTAACTCGATTTTTTTTTACAAGCTCTATCTTGAAACATATAACACACACGTGCTATCTTCCATTAATACATATAAAAGTTCCATATCAGAAAAAAGCAATCGCTTTTAAAATTGAATAATAATTTGAACTTAGCGAAAATTAACATTTTGTACCTCATCTCCTCATTTTTATATAATTCAAACTACTCTACTTTTTCTGAAAAAAGACCATCACATAACTTCTAATCAAAACTTTTGTGTTTTAATTTTATTCCATCAACATGTTCAATTTCTTTGATAATTCGCAAAAAGTTGAAAAAAAAATTACAACTACAAAACGATTTTCGCGCGTATCGTACAAAACTTTGGTAAGTAGATAAACTTGACACCCAGTTTTTCACAAACATTCAAGACTACTACGTTTCGGTTTACAATCAGAATATAGCCCCAGGCATATAGCCCCGAGCAAAATATCCGATTAATATGCTTGTAGGACGTGGCTGAAGTGTATCTTGAAGAGAAGCCTATTATGTACTCGTTTTATTACAATACTCGTTTGCAATTCCCCGTTTGACATTGTCTTCTTATTGTACCTTTGTAGCAAAGTACCTAATTAGTAATTAGCATTACATGAATTGTATTTTTTTTTATTCATTGAAGTGAACACTTTCATTTTTCAAAATTTTGTTTAAGTGTGATTCTTTCGGTATAAACTACTCATCATTTACAACGAAATGCTCTTAAGAGTAAATCGATAGGAAATACAACTTTGCCCACCGCGCCTGAACGTGGAGTACATAAAAGGACCTATTTAATTTTATAGTACCTAATAATACCTTCTACATTTTATGATTGAGTGTCAAAATTGTCGTGAGGAAAAGTAACATCATTACATCAATTACATCATTTTACACTTAGTTCAATTATTTGTGCATGGTTTAGCTTTTTAGCTTAGCAGCAAAAATAATTCAGATTACTTATGCCGAGTTACTTGGATTTTCTGATCGTTTCGCTTTGCAAATGGAATATCGCCCCGGGCAGAATATCATCCATCATCTTCAAAAAGATGCTCGTTTATCTGAAACAGCCTGTTCATGTGTGTTGTTTAATGAGGTCAATACAAAAGGCCCGTATGCATAGGTTAGGGTGGAATGGGCGCGCCCATTCCAACCTAACCTATGCATACGGGCCTTTTGTATTGACCTCACTAAACAACACACATGAACAGGCTGTTTCAGATCAACGAGCATCTTTTTGAAGAT